ATATCTGTTTATGTCATATGCTTGTTTGTATTGGATGTGTTATAACAATTACTATATAAAGCCTTAAATTGAAAAACTTTTGAAACACATGCGGCCTCTTGTGTTGCAGTGGTTGACACATTGATTGGGCCAAGACAAGTTTTTTTTTATAAAATGCAAATAATCCATTGACGGGTTTTTTCAACGAAATCTCAATTGCGACTAAGGGCCGTATTACACTAGGTCACCAGGCGATGTCACCGGTGGCGTCACCGGTGACGTCACCGGTTACTGTACGGGCAGCCAGCCTGAACACCAGAGAAGTCACCAGGAGTGAGACCAACCCCCAAAGTTCCTCCACTCCAGCCAGTGTCTACATTCAGCGCTGTCACCTCGTTGTTACTCTTCAGTTTAAGTTATTAAGTTATAGTTAAGTTAAGTTATATATTTATATAAGTTACTACTCTTCAGTAAAAAAAGTCTAGTGATCAACAGTTATTGATTAAGCGGGGACGAGATACAGGGAAGGGAACAAGGGAAGATGACTCGGTAAAAAAGCCAGTGTATTGTGAAAGGTGGTGGTGAAAAAGAAACTGAATGTAGTGGCAATTCTTCATAGTTTATCGACAATACGTCCACTCACTACACTGGCAACAATCTGAACTTGCAGAACACAAATATACAGTGGTGACGCAACCGCGGTGACTGTGTGTAATATGTCTCATTTGATTCAATGTCCAGCGACAAATCTTGGTCACCAGTGGTTACTCGTCTGGTCACGGGGCAGAGTCACCGGTCCGTCACCAAAGGCTGGTGACGCAACCGGTGACCCTAGTGTAATAGGCGCCATAAGAACCAATGCCCACCAACCAGTCATGTCACCGGTGACGCCACCGGTGACGTCGCCTGGTGACCTAGTGTAATAGGGCCCTAAGATTATATTAATAATCAGAACTGCATTTCAATTTTATGTAATATAACCCTGGGCGGAAGAGTGTTCTTGATTGTTTCCACCCTGTATCATTTATTTAACAAAATAAACATAATAAACCTATTCGTTTACGAAATGCTACTTGATATATTAAATACTTACTGCATCTCCAAACTTCCGTGTTTAGTTTTTCTGGTATTTCACAGCACTGACATAAAAAAACTCATAATTCGTGGTAAAATACATGTACTTAAATTGACCTGACAAAATCTGTATAGTGTTCGTTTTGACATTATTGATTTCATTAATGTAAAAGTAAAAGTTTAGGTGAGTAGACTGTTATTTATTACCTTTATAAAATGATTAGTTTATATATCCATCGATGGACTTCAAGGATGGTTTATATTATATGGAAGCAGCTGTCGTTCAGGAAATAGCTCTCTCGATCATTACGTCAGCATTGTTTGATGGATCAGTCTGATAATGCTGCGTTTTCCAACATTAAAATGAATACTAATCGAAAATATTTTGGTAATATACATTTCCAGTTGATATAATGATACATTTTTATATTTTTTACAGAAATAATCTATTTTGCAAATCGTATTTGTGAACGTACACGGATATAGACCTATATGATCCAAAATTATTAGTTTTATTTAATCTTTAAGCCGGAATTTAAGAATTATTACAATTAGAGAGGTTTTTAAATTTTAAACTCTTACTGTTTACTGAAGATTCTGAGTTTGAACTATTGTGAGGCACACTTATAAAATTCTTTAAATACAAATAAGTACTGGAAAGTCATTAAAACCAGCCCAATATGTGTTATGAATTAATTGATACAAACAAGAAGAGCATTATTGGATTTACTATGTGAACGCTACCATTATTTATTTTAGCTATTGCAGTAAATTATTTATAGGTTATACATTACTTTATTCAGTATACAACAAGAGGTAAAACAGAAAGTTTGAGTATAATTTCATAACAAACTTGTAAGTAACATTCAAATGTGTACCAAAACATGGTACCAAGAGTTAGAAATTAACGTCAGTGTTTGATAATGACTTCATATTCAATAACTATCTACACACTTGAGTACATCTTACTCATGTTAAGTGCAGATTATTGAATAACACTTGGAACACTTTGCCGTTTATAGATTTACGAAGTATTTCGTACATTCAATGTTTATTTATAATGTGTTTAATTCAACAACTAGGACTAATATGATATATTCGTATACAACATTACAAATAAAGTGCATGTCTTAGTATGATTAATCATAGCTTTCATACTCATTATAAAATTATTAAACTCCCATACTCATTCTATATACAATGAATCTACAAGTCCGTTTTTGATTGAGTATTTGTTTTTCTAATTGCACTAATTTCTGTTCAATATTATCCCCTAGTCTATGGTTTTATTACTATCCTGGTCTCATAGCTTATATTTGTTTGCATTATAGTTACAATGTTATCTAATTATTAATTTAGTTGTATATCATCGTACTCGTTATCAATTTATTATTTCATGTGTTTTTATTGTGGCCTTGAGCTTGGACCATTGGTCTTGGTTTGGGACTCGGTCTTGTTCTCACAATATTGCACAGTTGATAGTCGACTTTTTATTACTATTGCAAATCGCATAGGCAAATTGCTGTTAAGATTCTTATTTACCAATTAGTATTGCATGTAGTACGTACTTGCTATATTGTGCCGATGTTTAAAATCATAAATATAGTGAATGGTTGTTGATACATCGATGATTTCTTTTGTCCTTGGACGCTAGGCACGAGCCCGGAATTGTTTTTCACATTACAAATATCGAGAAACTATTCATTGATACATACGGTTGGCATTTACCTCAAGGATAATAGAAAAAATGACTGTACTGATCAAACAAACATTAAGATATTGCGTTACTAGCACGATATGCAAAAAACATTTTTATCAATATTCAAGTGGGATTTCCAAAAAAAAGTCAAAAACTAGCTGTACTATGGCTATTATTATTGACATCGGGCCTGTGACGTTGTTTATGTGTTTTATTAATTTCATTTCTGCTCTAATATCCGTGATATTTCTAAGATAAAAGCAATCTTTGAATTTTCGTTTTGGTTGTGATTTATCCAACTTATCTTTTTTGGACCTTTAATCATCATGTGAAGCATAAAATAAGAAAATTCTATATTTTTACAAACAATATAGGACAAATGACATTTCAGTTCCCCAAGAAATATTAAATCTATCCTCCAGCAATATAAATCTACTCAATTAACTAATAAACAATTATCCTTTGTGAATAAACCGGTTTTTTTAGTTCCTAAAATAAAAAACCCCAGCTCTGAGTGAGTGTTTTGTTTCAATCATTTACCTGTCAAAACACTCGTCAATCATACTCGGGTTCACTATGAATTGTTTTGACGTATTTTCATCAATAGAATTTTCAACGCAAGCTGTAAATTCTGTTATAATTACAATAAAGTCTTATAAACATTATGTGTGCAATAAAACCTGTGTTTATATGAACAAAATACTTTACACATATTATGTGAGAAGAGACGAAGCAGTGTTAAGACGGTGTTATCTCTTTATGTGTCTGCGGATATTCACTTTGGTGTTCTAATGCGATCATTGCCTGGCTTATCTCTCGCGGTTTTGTGGTTTAACATTGTTTGATAACTTCAATGCAAAACGGTTTACTTCACTTCAAAGCACACACATTTATTTATTGAGTATTAACAAATCATATTAAATACTGTATAACTATTATCCGTAATGTAATATAATTATAGTGACTAACAGCAATTACATTCTATTTACTTTGTGTTTACAGGATATGAATTTCAACATGTAATTAAATATACTGTACAACAAATATTCAGGGAAAACAGCTAACAATAGTTATTTGTGTAAGTAGTGTGCGAAGTGGCACTTTTCTGCACACGAGAGAAATGTTTACGCACTAGCCGTAGGCTAGTGTGGAAAGTTTTTCGAGTGCAGCAAAGGTAGTTTGCACTCGTGAAACAAATTATTTTCCTACAGTTACTATAAATCATATAAAAAATTAGTCTTTAAAACACTGTACAACACGTTTTTAGGATAGATTAGATTAAAAAACATTGAACGAAATTGGAAACTGCACCAGCTGATCGTAGTCGTAATATCTTTAAGTGTTGCCAACTCATTTCCAAGCGTACACGGATTACGTGCATAATAAAAGCGTGCTGCTTTGTGTTGTTTGGTTGGAATACCAACTGTGCGCCAAAGTTGGCTTTCTGTACTATAATCAGTGCAAGAAGCCCACTTTTTTAGGTGTCTGAAAAATAATTTGGAGGTAAAAAGACTAAAATCAATAAATTCGTGATTTTTTTGTGAAAAATCAAACCGCCAGAACCATATTTAAACCTAAAACATAAACGTGACACAAAGCGACAAAATTGCAAATTTGCCAAACATTCTGACTTAAAATGAGAGCTGCAAGTAACTTAGTTACAGTGCGATGTTAATTTGAGATAAAAACGCTTTTTGACGCTTCGTAAAGCTGCATTACGTCGGATTTGCATCCATTCAAAACGAGTGAATGCGATCTTTGCCCATTTATACTGTTGTTTTAATATTTACGTGTTTTCATTTCAACCACAATTGCCTTAACATAAGAGGTTTTATTTCATATGCATTTTTAAATTATTCCTTACACTTTACAGGAGTATCGTATTTCATCATATTTCATCATATAAAAACAATGAATATTTAGTTCACAAACATAACCTTACCTTGTAAAATGAAAAATATATTAACACTTTATAACAGTTAGTGGTTTATAATATTCATTTTATTTATAGGCTGGTACAAACCCTTCACGCAGTAATAGACTTTTTCAGCAAAAACACCCAACTGCTCTCCCAATTCGCGTAGTTAATTTAAGTGATGTTATTTCTAGGAAGTCAATTGGTTTTATCTACGTTTATTGTAGTGGGGTTTTCCGGTATGTCAATATGGAAACTCTATGTGCTGATTCGATCAAACCTACCGTATTATAATTGGTACTATTTACAGTAAAGTATGACCTGCTGTTTCAGATGTCCGATGATGACCGGATGTCATTGACTACAGCTGTCAGTGACGAGGAAGACGCCGAGAGTGTTCACAATTCACCATACAGAGCCAAGCAGACTGGAACAGCTGCCGCTTCTTTCAACTGCACTGGCGCTGTTAGAAAAGCTGGGTGAGTTTGTTTCCCTATAATCTAATAGTTTTTATAATATTTTATAATCGACCTTCTTAATTTTTGGTCGTGATCTTGATCCGATACACTCAACTTTCAATTGGTCATCGAATTTGTGAATATTGTGGTGGAAGTTTTAGATGCGTTGTAAAAATATATCTGAAAAGTCATGTATTTTCTTCGGAACATTATCATCTCCCGAAGGAAATGGTTATAATTTTTACTATTGAACCATGGAAGCCTACATATACACTCTAACCGTATGTGATAATACTACCTCTTCTCGTATTTCGTCCATTTGATTTCAATTTTTTTCTAGAGGTGTTGTGAATGATTTTAAAGTTTTTTTATAATTGAAACCGTTGCACAAAACACCTTATTTGATATTATTATACCTTTGGGACAGCAAGTTTTCTAATTAAGGAACTAGTATTTACGTCAGAAACATGTCCTTCGTAGCTAACCTTTGACTAAAGGTTTTTGAAGAAAAGCGAACGAGACCACTCGTTTACTCTTACACTCTAAATTTTAGCCTTAAAGGATAGAAGCTGTACATTAGCCTTAGAAAATGCATTAGATATTTATAGATTTTTAAATGTGCACGATTGCCGTAAAGTACGAATTCGAAGATCGTATTCAGTATACTGAATGCAGTAGTAAACTGTATCTTTTAATATCTTAAATTCCACGTGTATCAACAATTGAAGATTTTGTCAAAGTATTTTGGAAACCTTCACCTTTAAACTATGCTGTAAATAAATTTTTTTTTATAAAGTCAAGCTAATATATCACCCGATCGCTCCATTATTTTTAATACTTTCTCGGAAAAGGAGAACGACATCATTAGAGTTGTATTTTTCATGAGTTTCGAAATAAATACGTAGACTGTGTTTCATGATCAATATTCCATGTAAATAATTTATCATCGAAACACTTTGATGATAGTTAAGACACCGTCAACCTATCAGAAATAAAAAGAGCCCTAAAGGTTTCTTTGGGAAATATTATTGATAGTTTTGACTTTTTAAGAGTTATAATGATAGTTAAACCAGTGAGTATTTTAATTTAGGAACCCCGTTTCTTTCAAGATAAAAGAACGCTTATGAAATGCATGTACAAATTTGTAAAACAACTAAATGTAACATGTGACCCGCTTGTAATACATTTCGTTATATCCTTGTATTCTATTAATGATGTTGGCTCGTTACACTTTAAAAATAAGTTGATTTTACAGAAATACTTAATGAATAATATTGAAACAAAACTGAAGATTTGAGAAGGTCAACCTCTTCGTGTAATGAAATACCTCATCAGAACAGAAATAATGATTTCACAGGATATAAAAAGCTTGGAGTAATTACATCTTGAGCTAGCTGCCTTATTTCATTCACTTGTCTATTTCAAAATTACTTCTTTTTACTTTAATTACTATTTTCGTATACAATTCTGGCCAAGTTATTTTTGTATTTTAAATAAGAAGACTCATCTCGGATGTCAATTATTTCTAGCGCAGTAATAATTTCATAAAAATTATTCCATCTTTTGTAAACAATAATCTATTTAAATCAGAATTTCCCCTTGGATAAAACTAGAAATATATGGTATTAAAATGCCAATGAAGCAAAATCCACCTTTATTTAATTTAATACTTACAGGATTCGTAGGCACATATTACGGGAAAGTTTAATTTCATTGTGCAAAGTTAAAATACGTGTTATATTACTTTCTGTAAATTTAACATGAGATTTAATTAATTGAACTTACGCTGTGGTCGTATGTACCTACAATTATTAGCCGATAACCTCTTTCATTGTGGTATAATTTATGAGGAATTCAAGATTAACTCTTTACCTACTCTCTGTGCTATAATTAAACTGCATTTTATCTTTTCAGTAAGTATATATAATACACTTCTTGGGACAAGCTATGCACAAAAAGCTAATCTGAGGAGCAAAGAATGTCTTTTGTAATTGTACGAAATTACTATTTTATATGTTTGATACCTCAGTGTTTATCTTTCTGTGTAAAAAAGATTGCCAATGCTTAATGTAATTAAGTTTCCAACAGTCAGTCTTAGTATGTATACGGTCTTACTCAACATTGCCGTATTTTAGGCCATTATGACGTGGTTTTGGTCTGCCAAAGCGACCATCTTGACGTAATGAGACTCTGCTTTTGAAAGCTGACTCGACGGAGAGTCCCTTTTTGACGGCAGAGCTGATTTCGAGTTACTTTAATTGTGTCTTTCCTCAACAATACAATATAAAAGCCGTCAGCGCAGTTGTGAACAGCAACTTTTATCGCTGTTTCGTTTGAAAAAAATTTAAACAAATTTGATTACTACAGATTTTTATCTCTATTCGATATTATAGTACACTGAATTCTATCAAGGCTTACCGACTCTTATCCTTTGGGTGATAGCATACTCCTGATATAGTTCTAATACGAGTAAATACTGCTCGTAATACCATTGCAAATACATTTTACGCTGACTTTGGATTTTGAAATATCTAACTTCGCCTTTGTATTGGATTATCATTAATCGTTAACCCGATCACAAATTCCAAATATATCTTGCTTGACAACTTCAAATCCAGCTCACATTGTAATTCACTCGGCTTTTGATCGAACGAGGCACTTTAACATTTTAAGGCAAGCACTGTGCCAACTTATCTACCCTATAATTAGATAATTGTTATTGTAAGCTAAACGTTTTACTAACACCAACCTTACTAGATTATTGTTACATTCAAGCAAGTCCAACAATAAAATTAGTAATACAAAAATTTTAAATTTTGAGTACAAAAATATATAATTTGTAAAACATGTAAATAGAATGCGTCGAGTATTTGTTAAGAAACCATCTATATTAAATTGTATAGAAAGATGATTTTCATTGTAAATAACAAAATTGTAACGGTGGTCATCGACTGACACTTTCTGAGGAATTGTGGCATTGCAAACGTGATTTTTAACCACATTGCAACGCCCTCGATTAAAATGTCGAAAATTCATTTTTATTTTCATGTGGTGACTCTAGCAAGTTTTAAGAGATAAATTAAAAACAACACGAATACATTTGTTGTAGATAACCAATACCGGGTAACAGCCATAAGTATGCTGTATAGTAAAAAATTAATATTAAACACTCCTCACTCGAAAACATTGACAAACACTTTAAAATCCTTAGATTTAGTTTCATAGTTGAATAGTAGTTGTGTAGGGCAAAGTTGGGTGATAACTTAATAATTATAATATGAAGTTCCATGCCAACCTTTTGGGCCCATGTAATTCCTCAACTTTCTATAGTAAATTCACCACAATATGAAAAACTAAGATTAAAATCATTTAACAGTATCCATACATGCTATATTACTACTATATACTTGTTAAATTAAACACAATTAATTCAAATCAAAAAACCAAAAATTCACTTCTAATCTATTGAAATCGATGAAATACTCGAAGTATAAAAGGTGTAACGAGGTTTACATGAAAACCTAAAAAGTTTACTTCACGTTGATGCACGGTTGTAAAATTATGTATTATAAGATTTATAATTATTAGGGAACACGAAAATAAATATTATGTCTAAATAGTTTACGTAACTACTCACACCAAAAATACAAGAAAGTAGATGAAACCCAATCAACAACGACAAATTTCACGTTTAAAGTAAATCTAAATAAAACCAAGTGCTAAAAATGAATCAACTAAGACAATCGCCATGACATTTGTCTTGGTAATGAAATCACGAAATGTCTGCTTCGTTGTGCTCCTGACGTAATTGAAACTCATCTGAAGGGAAACTTTAGTTATTTTAAATCAATTTTTTTTTTTATAGAGAAAGTATATTTTTTCTCTAAAAATTTTCTATACATCTATCTTTATTCATGGCCTGTACATTTTGGTCCCGGATCGTCAATTTGTTGAGTTGCTACCTTTTCTTACGGCAACCCTCTATACAAGTACCGTGGGACCAATCCATGGGACGGTATAGTTTATTTCAATTGTTAAAGCAATATAAAGGAAACACACGTTTAATACATCTAATTTTGACTTTTATTTCGAGATATATATTTCAGACAGAACGATAGACATAGCTCGTATTGGAACATAGGATTCCAAGTACGTATGATCTGTTGTCCTTCTCTTGTATTGAATACTCAACATGTGTTTTCGAGATTCAAAGATAAAAATGCGTATACTAAGGAATATATTGAAGGATCAAAAAGAGTTTGGACAAAGTAAATCCTTCTCAATACAAACTAAATGGTAGAAGCTGAATTCTCAAGGGCTAAAGTAGTCCTTCCACATCAGCTTCGTTGGAATGGAAAACGTTTTCCGTTTCGATCCTGAGACTCACTTATTCCAGCAGGACGCGAGTAAACACAATTTTAATGTAGAATGCTCTTAAAGCAGAGATGTCAATACGAAATCTTGTGTAAAAAAAGGCCAACAACAATTGTACTTCTATTCATTTTGTTAAATGAATTCAAATTAAATGTATTTATTTTTAGGACCCCTTAAGTCCTTTATTACTGTTGTTGTTTTAAGTTTTACTAACCAGAGTAATTTTCAATATTTTAACATTGAATATTTTTTTATACATCTTATAGGCTACTTATATTGTATGACTACGAATATGACATTCCGTTTGTTCAAATAAATAAAATTGTATTGTTGATTTCAAGAAGGCCTCAAAGATAAGAGCAAAATATATGCCTCAAAGAACTTTTTGGTGTTTTTCGTAAGTTTTAAATATTTGTCTTAGTAGTTTTGCAATCAAGTACCGTGTAATGTTTTTTTTAGTTATCATTTAATTTAGTTGTTAATGTTTATGTGCACACATTATTCGACTTCACTTGATATAGTTAAAATTAAAGGCGATATAAAATCAGCAGTATATTTATAACATTGTTTGTTTAAGCAATATCGTGTCAGACCATCCGTTAAATTAATTTGAGCAAAGCCTTTTGTTGTGGAGTGTTTGTGGCGGG